AGCATTCACTGGCTGCCCAGGGCTTGGCATACTTCCATGCTTCCCTTTGCTTGATCTCCCAAATGCCCTATGGAGTAGGCTCCGTCACCCCCAGTTTACACAAGAGGAAGCTGAGGCTCCAAGGCTTGCTGGTGTACATAGCAGGGCTCCAGCCCAGATCCTTGGAGTTCAAAGCTAAGTCTGGAGTGGCATCTCCTCTATGAGAATCAGAGTTTTCTGCAGCACAGAGGCTGTCTCCATGCTCATGTGCTTCCTCCATCAGACCGGGATCTCCCTGAGGGGCGGGAGCTTTGCCTCTTCCGTCAGATTGTCTCCCAGTGCAGGAACTTTGCTCCCTGTCTCAGGCTGAGAGCTTCTCAGAGCAGGAAGCAAAGCTGGGAGTCTGCTTGGACTGAACCAAATTCAAGCTCGTGAAGTCTTTCCCGTCCTCATTCTGTGCTTGGCACCCCGTTTGCAGAGCGCGGGTCCTTCTGCGGGATGCAGCTCTGCTCTTGTGACCGCAAGTTCGTCTACTGCCTGAAGCGAAACCTCTGGAGCTACAACCCTCGCTATCGCTACTTCTTCAACTTATTCTGCTTCTAGTCACCTCAGGGGGCTCCCCCTAGACTGAGCCTTTGCTCTCCTATAACCCTGCCGGAGGTCCCCAGGGAGACTCTTGGTCTCAGACCTCATTCTTTCTTGGAGGAGCCCCAGGGCAACCCTTCACCCTCTGGAAAGTCCCCAGAGAGTGACTGTGGTCATGGGGCTTGGCAAGGTCCCAGGGCCTCTGGGCCTCTGTCCCCATGCTGAGTGCTGTCCCCTAAGCCAGGGCCAGCTGTGCCTCTCCTTTCCCCTGAAGACAGCAGCACTTGTCTCCAGTTAGAAGACCTCCCTGGCTCGCTCTTGCTTTTCAGCTTTTGCAATCTGATTGTCACCACCGCCCTCCAGAGAATTTTTATACAGATAGAAGCAAAATTGCCTCCATGAACGTGCTGTATCGATATTCAATAAAATTCCTTCTCTAGTAAAAATCACACTGGCATTTTCCTCTGCCGTGGGAGATTGTTGGTATCTCTTTCTCTGCCCCTGGGGCACTAAACCCAAAGTTAGCTGAGAGGAGAGGGCAGATTCGTAAATAGGTTTCCAGATGAGCTTCAGGCCTTCCCCTGGGTTAAATTCCTTAAACCTGGGAGTCTTCTGGAGCTCAGTGCTGGATGTCACTCTTCCTCAAGGGGTTGAG